GCGCTCGATCTCCTTCTGCAACAGCGACTCGAGGTGGCTGATGCGCTCATCCTTGACTTCGACGACCCGTAGAATGCGCTCATGCTCGGCGTTGGCCTCAGCGATGTCGCCCTGGAGGTTGTTCTTCTCCTCAAAGTTGATGTGCTCTTCGAGTGTCTCCTTCAGCTCGGCGATAGTTTCCATTCCTTCCTGCCATTGCGCCGTTAGATCCTTGAACTGCAAGTTCAAGTCTTCGAGCTCCACTTTGTACTCGTCGCGGTCGGCGAGGGCGGCTCTGACATTTTGTTGCGCTTGCTGGACGTCGGCGTGGAGGTTCTCGATCTGCTTGCGGGCCTCGCTGAGGGCGGTCTCGTTCTTCTGGAGCTCTTGGGCAAGTTTTGCGTTGCGCGTCTCGAGGGTGTGGATCTTCTCCTGCTCTTGCGCAAGCAGCGAAGTGCTTTGATCGAGCTGGAAACTGGTGTCTTCGCGCCGGCGTCGTAGGTCGGCGAGGTCGTTGTTGGACTTTGCGAGTGATTCCTTGAGTCGCTCGTGCTGCGACTCAAGATTGCCGTATCGGTCGTATTCGCGATCAAGTGACTCCTTGTATTCGTCGCGGTCTCGCCTGATCTGCTCCACAGAATCTTCCTGCCCCGACATGTTGTAGTCGCTCTCCTCCTCCACCAGTCGCGACAAATCCTTCTCTTTAAGCGTGGGTACTTGCTTTGTTGTCGCAAATGCCAAGACACCGCTTCCGGAGTTAGCGCCCTTGTCGTCCCCAGCCCCCGGCCCCGGCCCCGGCGGGAAGACATCCAAGCTCAAGCTCATTTTGGCGCCAGCGCCAGTCGGTCCCTGAGCGGGGGGTAGGGGCTTGGAGGGAGGGAAAAAGTGGAAAGGGAAGTAGTCGCTTTCCTTGCCGAACTCCATCTTCTCGCCGTCCATTTTGAAGGTAGTTGTTTGTTTGAATTGTGAGTATGAAGATGTAGTTGTGAGTAGGGTTTGAAGAGAAAGCAAGAGATGGAAGCAAAGCCTCAGGACGAAAGATATATGGCAACTGCCAGTCGAGTGCTATTGTTCAATAACTGGTACGACTTCAGCTTCCTGCTATTGTGCCTTGGAAAGAGCAGCTCCAGTATAGTGAAGGTGAAGACGACTTGCGTTCACCTGCTGTATGCGATAGTCCAACATCTAAGTGCGGACTACATTGAGTAACACAGTTATTATTTGAATGATGGTAGCGATATGTCGCCTCCCGGCGTATACTTCAAGTTTGGTTCTAAGCATCTCAGCGACAAGGTAGCCTCCCGGCTTGAATTTCAGTTTTCATTCTACTTACATCAAGCTCTTAGTCGTCGGCAAACACTATCTTTGTCCCTACGAACAGCGAGCATGGCTGCGTTGGGTTCACCCAGTCATCACTCTTGTTCTTCTTCTTCGTCAGTCGCCGCCATTTCTCAATATCATATCTCGCCATCGGACAGACTGGATCTCTATCGTGATGTCTTTCCTCACACTTCCAACACTTCGGGGGTCGCCTAGCATGCTTGCCCGGCCCCTTCACTTTGACTACTTTTCCCCTTGTTCGTCTCGGAACGTCAACCGTTTCCTGGGTAGGCGCTTTGTGCAGTTTCAGCGGTGCCGAAAACTGCCACTTGAGTGACTTCTCCAGATCTTTCTTCCATAGCTTTCCCACATATTCCATATCCGTGTGTAAGAAATGCGACACACAACAGAAGTCAGCAATGCGTCGATGTAGCATCGTGATGCAGTCACTTTCGAACTGCGACATGGGTATACCCATTGCTGTCTCTCGTCGTTGTTTCAGCTTTTGCGCCTTCTCTTTTGTCAGAGCTGCCGCCAAAGCTCCCTTGTTCTCTGTGTACTCAACCATGCGTCTTAGCTCCGTCATGCCGAACGCTTCGTAGATGATCTGTTGGCGAATCTCGGAAGGCAGGCCGAGAAGACTGGCTTTCGGATACGAATGCCGAAATCGGCCTGTCGGAGCCATGATCCAGGGATAGATCCATAGTCTTACAGCGCGTTCGCGTGCGATCTGTTTCCTTGCTCCTTTCCGCAGGGTCCGACATTCGATTGTGTTGGCGATGTTGTATCCTTTCTGGTTAAGCTCCCGTCGACGTTTGAGTCTTGCCTTTTCGCGGTGATTCTTTCTTTTTGACATGGTGTAACAGTGTGTCTAGATGTGAGACTGGTCGCCCGAGGTAGTTGTAGATGGTGCGCGCCTTGTATTTCGGCGGCAAAGCGAGACGGCTTCCAAGGGGATTCGTGTCAGGCCAAAAGCTGCGAGGGTGTTGTGAGGTTGGACTCTGTGGTATCGATTCGTAATCATCAAACGATCCCTGGATGCAGGTGCGTGGACCCTGTGCTAACCGCAGGCGGTAGCGAGGCTCAACCCTGGCGCTATGCGTCACAGTGACTCATAAGCATGTCAACAAAGATAAGTTATTAAAGACGTCCTATTCTCAATTTGTCTCTCATCTGAAGTGAGACACTAGTAACAAAAAAAGAGTACCGAGCGGGGTACCCGAAGCCTACGCGACATGTCTCCCGACATCCAAGAGATTCCCATCATCAGGCCCAGTGAACTTCTTCCTTCCAGTCATGATCCAGAATATCAAGCTGATGAACATAACAACTCCTGTCGCCGCAGAAGTGTAGTTCATGTTGTCGCTTGTCACAGGCGTGACACTAGGTAGGTTGGACACGACACAGATGAATCCCAGATACAAAAACCCGATAATGTTGAGAACAATGCCCCAGCGACCGAGTGAGTACGGGCCTTCCAATCGAGTCTTCTTACCGGAGAAGTGGGCAAGAATGCGGGAGAGCAGGGGCATTAGATACGAGAGGTAGAAACCCTGTGTGGCGATGGCGATGATGGTATTGAAGCCAGTTGTTGTACCGAAGTAAATGGAGTTGAAAGCCATCTGGACGACGGCTGTCAATATAATGGCGTATACCGGCACCGATCTTGTCGAGATCTTGCTTAGTACGTTGGAGAAAGGGAGTCCGTTGTCTCTTGCAAAGGCGTATACGGCTCTTGAACCCTCCGCCATGAGCGAATTGGCGCATACTGTGGCAATGATAGCGATCATAGATGCTAATGTAGATGTTCCGGCCACACTGTTCGTGCTATTGAATATGATGGCAATGACAGGTACTCCTGTCGCGGTAGCACCTGTCTCCTCGAGATCGCCAATGCAAAAGCACAATGCGACTAGCCAGACAAACCCGGTGAAGAAGCCAATGTAAACCGACATGACTATCGCGCGGGGAGCTTGTTTCCGGGCGTTCTTGATCTCCTCGGTCATGTGCGATGGCGCATCGTAACAGCACATTCCGAAGGCTGATTGAAGTAACCCCAAGCATGTAGCATATGGCGCGTTCCATCCGGTGAAATTCTCGAAGTCGCTGAATACGTAGCTCGCCGATTGCTTATGATCGTTGGTGACCAGAATGGTGATGAGACAGACGACGAAGGAAGTGAGATTCCAGATGAAAATCGCTTTCGAAAGCTTGTTAAGGATGTGTGGCAGGTAGATGTTAGATGCCGCTGCGATGAATGTGATGAGATAGGCGATGAGTACTGTGTGCCATCGCTCTATCGTGAAGCCATAATTGAGCTGGGCGGTACCGAGAATGAAGTTCGTAGCGACGAAGTTGTTGACTGCGCCCATGCATATGATTCCGATCAGCATGAACCTGTTCATGTTAGGAAGTGATTGGGAAGTCATCTTGAGAATACACACCATCCACAGAGATAACTCATCGAGCGAGCCCAGCGTGTCGGTGCCAGGATAGCCACCCAAGAGTACTGCCCACCTGCAACAGGATATCTTAGAGACGGTCAGCTCAGCCATATAGTCAGGCACAGGTGTACATACGCGCTACACATCTCAGCCATTGAGTACGCAACAGCAAGTGTCACAAGGCAGACACACAGCCAGCCCCAGATCATGACTGGCGGCCCACCCGATTCAACACCAATGATGAGTACACCAGAGAGTGCGGTCCATGAAGTCACAATACTGAACGAGAAACCGACCATCCCAAGTAGACCAAAGCTACGCTTGAGCTCTGTGAACGCAATCAGTACACGTTCTCAACTATGACTTTGTGAACTTACCTTGGGTATATCCCAGCTGCGCCAGCACATCATCGTCGCTGTTGGCCTCCTCCACGATCTTCTTCTCTTCTGGGTTGTGCGCCATCTCTACCATCTCGATTATCACAAAACCGACAGAAAGAAGGTCAAGAGACGACTGTGAACATGCGAACAGCCCGGAAGCGATTGTTCAAGTGTTACCTAACCGCATACATATACCTGTCCGGGTATCGCGCAAACCCGTTTCTCGCAGCCATTGAACGACATGGCGCCGTCAACGGCCGAACCCTGCGTCATCCTGATAACGAGCATCTGCCCCAGGTTGTGCCTCCATTTTGGGAAGCCGCCAAGCATCTCGTACATGTCTTATCGCGCATCAAGCGTGTGGAGTGGATTGGTCGAGATAGGGAGCGGAAGCGGTATGAGGAGCAACCGGGGTGCTGGTAGAAGTGGGGTACGGTAGACGAGATGAGTTGGCTGCTATGCGGTATGTTTGCGGCTGAGAACATCCATCGGCCGGTTGCCGTCGACTTAAACTCTTCGCTATCGAATTGCAGACATGCGTACAGAGGAAGTATTGCGATGGTGTTGTGGTGTGAGGATTGAAGCACTTGCGGAAGGAGTGGAGATGCATAGGTACCTGCCGATCCCGATAACCGGCTATCGCAACCCGACGCGATAGGATCACTCAAGACAATACAAGAAATACACGAACGTAACAGACTGCCGCGCGGAGATGTGAATGTAGGCAACCTTGACGACGCGGTGTATGCACAGATGGATAGCGACATGCCCACCATCTCAACCCCTCATGGTCATCATCGTACCTGCATCACATCATCACGACATCAAGTCGTTCCTGATATACACTCAGTAGCATAAAGCTTGCGACCAAAAGACCATGACATCTCAGATCCCCACAACAACACCGTATGCCTGGCCACATAACTCAACCCTATATCCCACAACAACCGCCCTCGTCATCATAGACATGCAACGCGACTTCCTCTCACCAGGCGGCTATCTCTCCTCACAAGGCTACTCTCTAGCCCGTTTCGAGCCACTGATTCCCCGCATCGCATCCTTACTGTCCACATTCCGCCGCGCAGGCTTCCCCGTCGTACACACACGGGAAGGTCACGATCCCTCGCTAGCAACAGTCAGCAGCAGAGAAGCCCATCGGAGTCGGGTCAACGGCGCAGAAATAGGAAGTCAGGGTCCGTTGGGTCGTCTGTTGATCCGCGGTGAGGAGGGGCATGAGATTATTGAGGAGTTGAGGCCGGCGAAGGGAGAGCTGGTTATTGATAAGCCGGGACGAGGGGCGTTTGTCCATACGGAGCTTGATATGATGTTGAGAGCGAAGGGGGTGAAGAATTTGGTGGTTTGTGGGGTCACGGCGGATGCGTGTGTGAGTAGTACGGTGCGGGAGGCAAGTGACAGGGGGTTTGATGTGCTGGTTGTGGAGGATGGCGTGGAGAGTGTTAGTGAGGAGTTGAAGAGGTGGAGTCTGGAGAGTGTTAGGGTTGAGGGAGGGTTGTTTGGGGTGACGGGATGCTGTAAAGAGGTGGAGGAGGCGGTAAGAAGCTGGATCCAGAATGGGGATGACAGTTGGAGTAAGTAGGCTGCACTGAACGAGACACTTGGACAGTGTACAGAGAGGCCCATACAGTATGTTTTGCCTTTACTTCACCTCGAGAGGATTCTTGCTGCGCGTATCAACGCCGCCTCAAGGTACCTTTACTTTGCCCTGCGCGCCCAATCTGTAATCAGCTCTTGCTCAATCAGCGTATCATATACGCGACGCTCATCTCTACATCCCCACAACAACAACGTTACTTCGAAATCCCAATAAGTACACTCACGACATACTCAGGTATTCCGATTCCCACCTCAGTGCCCACTTCAGCTCTTCAATACTGACGAATCTCAGCTACAGCGCACCCAACCAACATGGCCTTCATCCCCACCGAGCATGCCTTCCCCATAAGAGTAAACGCAGTAGAACGCTTCATCGACACCTCCGCCGCCGAAACCACCTTCTGGGAAGACGCCCGAGACGACCTACAGCCCTGGACCCATTGCAACCTCAACCCAGACCTTGCTCCCATACGCGAAGGTTTCGGTTACGAAGTGCGACACTACTACAAGAGCCCGTCTGGCGATGTTGAGATATTCCCAGGTGCCCAGGGTGTGATTGTGGGTGTACCGCCGCCGGATTGTGGTCATGCTAGAGGCTATGCCAAGGTCCATGTTCCTGAACTCGACCAGGTCAAGATCGTGCCGATGGTCATACTGCGGGCTGGCAATGTTCACATTGAGGATCGCAAGTTGTACAACGAGATCATCAGTAGCCAAGGTATACTCGCTTCGAAGAGTGGACAGCCGTTTGACCAGCTTGATGTGGTTACTCAAGCGTACCTCCTGGCTATGGCTGCGACCAACGTGGAGAAGTGTTAGTGAAGCTGACGAAATGGCGGTCGGAGGATGCCAAGGTGGAAGGGGATTTGTCTGGAGTCAGCTACTGTCGAGTATAGCAGGCGATAAGCTGTGCTCGAGGCAAAGACGGCACAACATGAGTCAACGTCACAAGACAAAACAATTGGACAGCAAGGTGCATGAATATGTATGCATTGACTGAAGTAGCCAAATGAAGATCGAAGCTTCATATTGATCATTTCCAAACCACCCATGAACATAACGCCGTGAAGACCGATAGCCGTGACCAGATCATATCCGTAAACAATGTGCGACCATGCGGACAGTCCCCGACCAAGAAGCCGCAAGAAGCGGTCGATGCCGGGCGCCGATGTGTCGTGACGAGAAGAGGAGATGTTTAACCACCGAAACCGTAGAGGGTACGGCCCTGGCGCTTGAGGGCGTAGACAACGTCGAGGGAGGTGACGGTCTTGCGCTTGGCGTGCTCGGTGTAGGTGACAGCGTCACGGATAACGCTCTCGAGGAAAGTCTTGAGGACACCACGGGTCTCTTCGTAAATCACTGCGGTCATGTTAGGACTTGTCTGACATGTCGACGAGGTTGGGAATGCTTACTGGCTGAGATACGCTTGACACCACCACGGCGCGCGAGACGGCGGATAGCGGGCTTGGTGATACCCTGGATGTTGTCACGAAGAATCTTGCGGTGACGCTTGGCGCCACCCTTTCCAAGACCCTTGCCACCTTTGCCGCCTGCATAGGTATGTTAGCATGTTGTCTTGTGGTGATAATGGATGCCGCGACGGCATGGTGGTTGTGTATGAGTGTCGTGATGCGCGGTGCATTAGTGGGGGCGACGCGTTGAGCCTCAACACCAAGCGCGCCTCACCGCCATGTGCAGCAGTAACAAGCGACGACAACGTCGATGCGCGGGTAATGGAAGAGGAACAAAGATGTACTTACGTCCAGTCATGTTGTTGGTAGTTTATTGGAGATGGAGGTGATGGGTATTGGTATATCACGCGCGTTGGTGCAGCGTAAATGGCGTGGATGAAGATGAAAGCTGGGGGTTGCGAAAAGAGAAGAAAGAAAAGACCCCAAAGACGCGGGTGGGCCGGTTATATAGACGAGGGAGGCGGGCGCGGGTGCCTCTAGATCACACCTGGGCACAGAGTGGCGCTAGGCCCGGTCGGGGCGAGTCAGAACATGAAATCAAAGGCCTTGCGCCTTCACATCTGGGGGAAAATCAAAAGCGTGGAAAGCAGCACTTCCAATTCTCACCTACGCTTGCAGGCGCGCCGGGCTGCTGATGCAGGTGTCGGCGAAATGGCCCGTGCGGGAACTTCAATCGCGGCCTGCCGACGCGACTGGAACACCAACTTCGGATTGTGATAATCGCCCTGCATGCGGCTACAGCATGCTGCACTCTCTCAAAACTTACTAGAAGACGGCGACATATACACCAAGCATCTAGAACTACCATACAATGTTTTGCGCGTTTTCAACTCATTCACGGCACGCCTTCTGTACCCCCCCACGACGCGTTCACGCTGTGCACAAACTACACCAACCACCGCAACAAGCAACTAGCGAAGACGCGTTCAATTCCAGAGAAAGCCTTTTTCAATACTCTGTCTGCTCTTGTCTCTTCACAGTTACATATCATATTTGCTGTTGACTTTCTAGAAACGTCAACCTGAAGCTTTCACCGCCATGTTACAGACTCTCCAGCCTTTTCAACATGTTCACACTTCAAGGATCAAGATTTGGCTTATATCATACCCTTACTTGCTGCTTTCTGAGAAGATGCAGATGGAAATATGGCGTCATATCGGTCGCAACCTATCGTTGAGTGGTCATGTCCCACTCTTTAGATATACTTGCTGGTTGCTCAGGCGCATGCCTACCAATGCAAATGTATGAGTCACGTAATCCGTATTGCTGCCTGGAGTTGCTCTACCCGGCTGCCGTCTAAAGTCCTCAGTGGTCATGTTGGGACGAACCATGTGGCACAAGACGTGTCTACTGCGCTGGGTCTCCACATTGCGCACCTCCGCATGGATGCTCATCCGCATCGAGAGGGGTATCACGGTGGAGCAGCCATGAGAGGGTGATGTCGGGCTAAACCGTTAGCAATAGATCAAACAAGGCCTGCACTTCAAAAGCATATTTCAACACAGTCGATGTGAACTAGAAGAGATTCATTGCGAGAGCTAACTAATCAAAACGGGCTACAAACGAGGGGCATGCTACAAACTATCCATCTAACCAGAAGCGTGACATGACCATATCCACTCGCCACTTGTACCGTCTTCCAGGCCTAGAGTAAGCTTTACTTTGTCTCATCAGTCTTCTTGACAGCAGCCTCCTCATCGGCAGCCTCCTCGTAGACAGGAGGGGCGTCGTATGCTGGAAGCTCGGCGTACTCCTCCTTCTCTCCGCGCTCCTCTGCCTCTTCCACATCCTCCTCATCCAAGGCAATCGGCTGGTAGCGCTGGCCACGGACCTTGGCAACGGTAATAGCGATGAGACATCCGAGAGCCATGCCCACGAGGTATGTAAGTGTACCAGCGAAGATACCGATGAGGATAGGGACGAAGATGGTGAAGAAGGCGCGACGAGCCATCTTGGCGAAGCCGTGGTGACGGTGTTGACCCATGTGGTGAGGGTGATGGTGTGGGTGCGCCTTGCCAGGGCGGAAGCGGTGCGGGGGCTTTCCAGCAATGCCCTCATGCTCCATGGGGTTGTTGGGACGGGCACCGGCGTGGGGTCGCTTGTGGCAGCCGGGCCTAGGCTTGCGCATGTCCTTGATCTGCTCGATGCGGTCGGCCATGATGTTCTTCCACTTGCAGTAAAGCGGCCACTCGTTGCACTCCTTGTCTGATGGTGTGGCCGGGCTACGCTCAGCCTCGTTGAAGGATGCGATCATGAGGCGACCCTCCGAGTTCTTCAGAACGTTGATCTGGAGCGCAGGAGGATTGACAGTGGTGCCTTCGACCGAGGTGATTTGGAAGGTCATCGGAAGGAGCTCGGTGCCCTCCTCTGAGATAGTCTCTGCGCCGTCGTAGCGGAATTCATAGCCGGTGATTTGCAGACGTAGACCCTCTTTTGTAGATGGGTCTACCTGTGTGAGAGTGTAAGGCTGGGGAGGAAAGCCGAACGATGGCGGGTATAGTTGGGCGTTGTTGAGGTTTAAAGCGTCGCCATGGGGTCCGACGTCAAAGTCCAGGCGCTGTTGGCTGTTAGCATGTAAGGCTGTGAGGCATGTAGCCGACTACGTACGAAGGCACTCCCAACATCAGACTTCCACTTGAGGTCTTTTCCATCCAAGGTCGCAACGGCGCATCCAGGGCACTCCAGCGCGACGGATCGCTGGCTGGGGTTGATGGCGAGAGACTCAAAAGCGTGGTCGTCCCCGAGGTCTTCCACGTTCGTCACGGTCGAAGGGATGAGCACGGCGCTGGCGGCCAGCGCCAAATGGGCGAAAACACCCAACTTGCTAGGAGACATCGTGGGTTGTATTCAGGATAGTTCAAAGGTTGAAAGGCGAAGAGGTGTTGCAGAACGAAAGTATCAAGGAGGACGAGGGAGGCGGTGCCTCAGCCGTGCATTACGATTGCCGCCGCGTCATCTGTCACGTGAAGAGCCGGACCCTGAAGTTTAGCTGTCAACATGTCGCACGCGTGAAACATTCGCCGAACCAAGCAAAGCAACCAGTGAACCTAGCGACAAGGCAAAATATACTTCTGGCTTCGGAATGTTGATGTAACATCCTACTGCGCGATGTCCACGGGTGTCGGCGGCTTCTTGACGCCCGGGTGACTGCTTCCTGTGCGCTTACCGGAGCTTCCCCGACGGTCGTTCGTCTGATATCGTCGGGGACCAACGCACAGACCCGACTTTCGTCTGTAGTCTCTAGCCACTCTTTCAGTCTGTCAAGTCAGTACAGATGGGCTTGAGACTCGCAGCGATGCGCGTAAGCGCTGCCAACGTGAGCCCTTCAGCTGAGCTCACTAGGCAGCATCAGCCTAGCTCAATCATCGCAACCTCATAAGACAACACTTCACCTCGTTGTCAGATCCATCTTCAAACTTTCAATTCCGCAAAACATCATGCGACTTATTGACGCTACCACACTTGAGCTACGACTCTTCATGGATGAGTCTCTGATACCGCCATATGCCATCCTATCACACACGTGGGGCGAGGACGAAGTCACTCTACAGCAGTTTACGAACCATTCACTGCGGGACGATGCCACTTTCAAAAACAGCCGCGGCTACTGGAAGATTCTGAAAGCCTGTCAGCAAGCCCTGAGCGACCGTTTGACGTTAGTATGGGTGGACACTTGCTGCATCGACAAGAACTCTTCTGCAGAGCTGAGCGAAGCCATCAACAGTATGTTCCGGTGGTATGAACAAGCGGCGGAGTGTTACGCCTATCTCGATGATATCAATGTGGGCTCCGAAGCCTGGGCTGACAGCCTCATGTCCAATGACGATAAAGAACAGCTTGCCAGGTCGCGTTGGTTCACTCGAGGATGGACCTTACAAGAATTACTAGCTCCAAAGGAGATACGGTTCTACGCAGCAGAATAGAGATATCTTAGCAGGAAGAGCTCGTTGTGTGTGGAACTAGGGCACATCACTGGGATCAACGCAGACGTGCTTTCCAGTAAAAGCGACATGAAGGACGAGAGTATCGCAAAGCGAATGAGCTGGATAGCCGGGCGCAATACGACACGAATAGAAGACATGGTATATTCCCTGATGGGCATTTTCGACATCAACATGGAGCAAATGTATAGTGAAGGGAAAAAGGCTTTTGTTCGGCTTCAGGAACACATCATAAGGTTTTCCGCAGATCAAAGCCTATTCGCATGGGAAGAAACCCTTCCACACTCTCCTGGAACGCCCACCTCGGTATTTGCGAGTCACCCAAGGCAATTCGCCACTTCAAGCGGGATAATTAACCGCAGATTCGACGACGAATTCAGGCTACCAGAGGACTATTTGTGTACGAACCGCGGCGTCAAGATCAGGCTCCGTATCCGAAAACCGACTAATTCCTAGGGCGGATTGGCACGCAGTGAAGACGATTTCTTGGCCGTGCTCGATTGCTGCTACGAAGACTCGAAATTTGAGAACTGCTAGCCTGCCATCACAATCAGACCGCTCAAAGGGCCCAAAGGACAGTACATTCGTGTTGAAGGCCCAGCAATCCTCCCTGTTATTTTTGGCGATGTCAGCGACGCCCAGAAGCAAATGGGCGTTATATCTGTTGGCGATATAGATGACGGAGAATGGGTTTATCTTCGGGCAAAGGTTCCCGGCTGGGCTGCCCGCTGAACTTCCAAGCAAATTACAAACTGTTGAATCTCGGATACGAGAAAGCTGCATTGGATATATAACGATGAAGGTTACGTTCTAAGCGGCACATTTAGCCCGTCGATGACGATATGATTTAAACTAATTGATGAGGAATATGACCAACGCCAGAAAATGCTCAACGCTACATGGTATCTCTCGCTTCCCAATTGCCCCAAGATGAAATGATTTCAACAACACAGACCCCAAGCAATATCAACATCCCAAACGCCATGCTAATCATACAATCATGAACCCCAGAACCTTCTATGCTCACATGCGACTAACCTGCACCGGCACCCCCGGATGCATATTAAGCAAATACTGTGGACCAGGCATCGTCCCACCTCCATAATGCGTGCGACTCGTATTCCTCACATGTTGCTGCTGTTGCCTCTGTCCATCAGCACCAAACTCTCTACTATCATTCTGCTCCGCACTGTGCCCATACGGCATACTGTTCTCCTCCATCTTGCCCAGCATGACCATCTCATCGCTGTCTTCGCCTGTTCCGCGATTTTGTCGCCTCTCAGCGCGGGAATATGCGGATCCGCGTTTCCGGATGCAGGACTGAATGATGAAGATGAAGAGGAAGACGGCGATGGATATGGCGGTGTATATGAGGACGATTGGTCGGGTTTGCCCTGAGAGATGGAGTCCAAGACCGCCGGTTAGGATGAGTAGGACGAGGGAGGCTGAAGCGAGGGGTGTGTGGAGTGCCTTCTGGAGGCGGGGTAGGTACGGTTTTAGGGACGGGAGGATGCTGGTTAGGAGGAGGGGTAGGAGGGATATGAAGGCGATGATTTGGTGCGGGGTGTTGAATGCTTTCGACTGGGTACGCGTTAGTATGGGGATGTTGACGTCGACGAAGGGGTAACTTACGCGATTATACTGTGCACTGGTAACTCCTCCCAATACATAACTGACAAGCAGGAAGATCATGATGAGTACGCTGAAGACGACGTGTATCTTGATGTTCTTGAAGAAGGCTACAAGCAGCACGTTGAGTGGCCAGAGTAGGAAGAGCGCTAGACATCCTATGACTGCGTGTGCGAGGTTCGCTCGGTCGTGGTCTCGGGTCATGTCGCCCACCATGCTTACGCCGTTCAAGGCGTTGCTCTTTGCTGGTACGCCGCCTGGTCCAGTCGCTATTGCCATGTCCATGGTGAAGTGACCGTAGCGGATGTGGCGTTTGAGGTTTGCAGAGGGTGAGTCGGATTGCAGGTTTTGTCCATGACCAAAAGCATAAATCATCGGGTGTGCTGTCGCTTCCGTGTCGATGAAAGAGCGGCAGTTGCCACATCGCGCCCTCAAGATGAGCATGTCGTCGTCGACTCTGGTTCCTGGGAGGACGGTAAGGGAGACTGAGGAGTTGAAGGTTGGTTCCGCGGCTTTGGATCCGATGCGTGTGGATATCGTTACGTCTGGTACTTGTTAGTATAATTGTCGTTGTTCGAAGTTACGTGAAAGCGTACTATCGCTCTTTTCATTGGGGTACATGATGAACATCAGACTCCCTTCCATCTTCTCTCCAAACCCAACGCCGACCCATGAGTACGCCGGACTGGCGTAGTAGATGAACACATCATCTGAGTCGTCCGCGATGTTGAGAGAGAACTGTGTTTCTGTCCGATCAAGGTAGAATGTCGATGCGGTAGTGACGTTCGTTGTTGTGTTTTGGCATGATATGAGCGCTGGGAACACTGCGCAACAAGTAAGCAACGTGAAAGGAAAGACAAGCAATCGTATGTAGTTCAAACCACTAGAGATGACTTACAAGCCAGCAGCGCAAGTACCACACCCACTCTCTGCCGTACGTGTATCATGGCAAACATATCTCAGTACCAAATAGCACTCAAAAGCGCGCGCAATAATCAACCAAGCTCTTCAGTTTCAAGGCAATGAAATGGAAAAGAACGGGAAGAAAAGAGCGAACAGCAAAGCAATACCCAATTAATCCCCTCAAAAGTAAAGTACCACAGCATAAACAAGCCCTAAACCCAACGCCTCCCCCATCGGGGACCTTATACTTTGCATACAAACCTACTCCTACACGCCAAACCCCATGCCTGCCAACACGCCGCACATGAAACAACCACAAACCCGACCCCACCAACCGCTCGTCCAACCACCCGCCTTGCCGCAACGCCAGCTCAAGAATGTCTTATCTTGGAACAAAGTCGCCTATGACGAGGGCAGCCACTCAGCAGCGCGACGAGCTGGAAATTGAGCTCGTGTGGAGCGGGCGCTTAGGGGACGGACAGGGTTTCGAGCGTGTTCGCCGCGTCGTGTAACAGGCGTGGAAGCGCCCGTACAAGACAGGGGGGACGTGCCAAGCGGGGTAAGCGGCGCCCGCGGGCGTCGTCTGTATTTTTAGCCTTGCAGCGCGAGCGCGCTGTATATAGTACACTTCGGGTAGAAAGGAACAGCGTAATTGGAAATATGTGTACGACGTAACGTTGTCTTCGATCGTGTTAGTGACCGCGATTCCGATGGAAAAGGCAAGGGCTTGAATGAACTTGTGGTCTGATCGTGTGTGCACCCTTGCTTTTGCGGCATGCACACAGCCATCACTAAAAGCAGTCCGACGCCAGACTTCACTAGAATAGGTTTTATCGATAGTTCGCAAACAGATAGATCACAACGTCAACGCCAATAAAGCTCATGAATTTGATTGGTAACCGCAGAAAAAAGAGAATTATGTACCTCCCCGCCATCCGCCACTTTGATCGATTTCCACATCCGAAAAAGCATCAAAGAAACTGCAAAAACCACCTCTTTCTTACTCGCTCCGGGTATGCTAGTCATAATCGTCATAGTCATTAGTGCTACAGGCCGTATCCTCGTCACAGGTTGCAGAGATCTTGTGAGTCGTTCGGTGTCAGGTTGAGACTTTCTCCGACAAGCGCGCTGGAAGACCGTGAACGTTGCTCGGAGGTGGCGAGACATTTCTAAACACGCTGGCCTCATCGAAGGATTCGCCTGCCGAAACAAACGATGCAGATTGTCGCGGACTCAACAATGGTGTAAGACTTCGCTGAAGGGCTCCCGAATCTCCAACCCGCAGGTCCGGCGTCAGATGAAAGCTGTACGAGGGTCCTCGTCCACGTTCAGAATCTAACGGTATCGGCTGCGACGGCTGTCGAACGATACTTCGTGCTCGTAGAAACGGTCGTCGTAGGCTGAGGCTGGGCGAGAGTCGTGGATAGACTTGCGCTCAATCTCGATTTCCCGAATGCGGCTCTTGCGCTTACGACGGATCTCGTCGGAGATCTCCACGAGGTGCAGAACGTCCTCCTGTATGAATGTCAGTATACTGCACCTTGTACAAGGCACCACCAACTTACGTATCGCAGGTACTCCATGACGTAGAAAAAGTCGTCGGTCTCCTCGCATGAGTAGCCGCACGAGTCGATGGCTTCGCGGAGGACCAAGTCCTTTGTGATTTCGGTCCACATGTCCTTCTTCTTTTGCTTCACCGATCCCTGGTTGTAAATGTCAGTGGTATGCTCATCGTCGCCGCTGATGAACTTTGATCTGCGAACGCCGTTGTAGCGCTGCCAGGTGATCTCTTGGGCAGCACCACCGATGCCATCCATGCGCACACGACTGGTGCCGGGTGGCACGTCGATGATGGACCAGTCTTTGGTAACTCCATTCCAAGCTTCACCAGGGTAGGCTCGCTCAAGTGCTTTGCGGTTGTAGAACTCGGCTTCCAAATCAAAGTCCATATCGGGCATGGGGGCTGTGTGCACACGCCCTGGGGGGCTAAACGACCGCTCGCGGTGACGTACCTGGTCGCGGTTGAAGTTGATATCAATATCGAGCTCCTCGAAGTTGCTCCTTCCACGTCCACGGCTGTGGCTCCTGGCGGAATGTTAGGTTCTGTGTAATGGCATGTGAAGTGACTACTCACTCTCGTCGGTTGATCTCGATCTCGAGGGTCTCGTTTAGTGGAGGGGGAGGAGACGGGGGCGCCGGTGGGGGAGGCGGTGTTGGCGTGCGGGCCCTGACGACACCTGTACGACTGTCAGTATTGAACCTGGATTGTGTTAGCCACAACACTTACCATGGTCGATGTGTCGGTGATGTGTGATGATCTCCTGGATGATCGGGGGACGGATCTCTGGCTCAGGAGCTGGCGCTGGGGGTGGAGGAGGCGGGGATGGAGAGGGCGAAGGAGTGGGTGCTCGCTCCTCCTTGCGGCGGATGATGATCTCGTCTCTTATGAC